TTTTTTTTTTTTTTTTTTATTACTTTAAAAAAAAATAATATATATATAAAAAAAAAAAAATAAAAAAAAACATTATTGTTAATAAATTTTTCTTTAAATATTTCTTTTTTCTAATTTTAATTATTCATGTTTTGTAGCTAATTTTTTTTTCATTTCTGCAAATATATACTCTTCTCGATACTTTTAGGAATTTTTTTACATATTTAAATTTTTTTTTTTTTAACTTATATCAATTAACTTTTTTAATTTATATTCTTTATTTCATCATGTTTTAATAATTACTATTTGTAATTTTATGAAAAAAATATTCCCAAATAAATATATTTTTACACATTTTTAAAAGTTTGTAAACTAAAAATTTTGAAGAGAATTTTAGATAATAAAAAAGATGGATAACGAAGATGTTCCAAAAAAAATGTAATTGAAATAAATATATATATATATATATATTTATAACTTATATATATATTGTATATTTAATACATTAAAGGAAAACAAATATTTTTTCTAAAATATATTTATATATATATAACCCTTAATATAAAAAATATTGTAAAATTTTTCATAAAAACGAATGCGCACACTTTGTTAAAAACTATTTTTTTTTTTTTTTTTTTTATCATTTTGATGGACTATATATTAAGATTGTATATATATGTAAAGGTTAATATGAATTTATAAAAGAAATAGACTCAAAAAAAAAAAAAAAAAAAAAATATCGTTACATAATAATATATTATATTTTTCAATCTAAAAATATATAAAAAGGATTAATATATTATCAATATTCTAAACTTTGTTCATAAACCAACAGTTTCCTTCATTAGTATAATTCATATTTTTTTCTTTTTTTTTTTTTTATTATATATAAATATATGCTATTTTTCTTTAGATATCTTATAAGAAAATTGAACAAACTAAATATTAATACTATTTATGTTTTTTCTTAATTCAACATTATTAAAATTATTATGTTCTTATTAGTAATTTTGTTTTTTTTATATTTATATGTTAATTTATTTTGTGTTTCATTTACAAACTAAAATAACAGAAATAATTATTTCTTGTTTTTTATATTATTTATATTTAAATGTAATTTAACATATTTAAAATTTATAAGTAAAAACTAAAGAAAAAATTAGGTTACAAAAAAGGCAATACATACATAAATATAAAACTTTTTTTTATCTACTCCTTTTATTATATATTCACATATATAAAAAAAACTCTACACAATTTATATATGTTCAATATATTTATTAAACTGTATATTCATTCTATATTTTTTTATAAAATATTGAAATATGATTTTTTTATTTTAATATTTTTTTTTTTATTATATGTTAGTAATGAAAGAAATAAAAAGAAAGCGATTTTTGCTAATGATGATTTCACAGGGGAAGATAGTTTAATGGAGGTATTAAACAAAATTATTTTATCATATATTTTATTAAGCTGAAACATTATTAATATTTTATAATTGTACATATTTCTACATGTAAAATAACAAATTTTTTAAGTTTGTCATTATTTGTTAAATATATATGATTTAATCTTTTTTTTTTTTTTCTTTTTTTTTTTCCCCCTCTCCATTAAAATCTTTTAGGATCACCTAGAACTTAGAGAAAAACTTTCAGATGATATTGACATGATTAAAACGTCTCTAAAAAATAATCTTGTGTGTAGTACTTTAAATGATAACGAAATTTTAACTTTGTCTAATTATATGCAATTTTTTGTTTTTAAAAGTGGAAATATAGTTATAAAACAAGGGGAAAAAGGTATAAATAAAAAGTGTAAAATCATTTAAAAATTAAATTCCCTTTATTATATAATTTTATAAATAGACTTTTCTTTCTTTATTTACATAATTATATATATTTATTATATATATATTTTACTTATATATTTTTATGTAATATTTCAACATAGAATATTGTAAATTTTTTTTTTTTTTTCCCCTTTTATAATATTTTCATATAGGTTCTTATTTTTTTATTATAAATAGTGGAAAGTTTGATGTTTATGTAAATGAAAAAAAGGTAAAAACTATGAGTAAAGGAAATTCATTTGGTGAAGCAGCTTTGATTCATAACACTCAAAGAAGTGCAACTATAATGGCAGTAACAGATGGAACCTTATGGGGAGTACAAAGGAGCACTTTTAGAGCAACTTTAAAACAATTATCAAATAGAAATTTTAATGAAAATAGAGCATTTATTGATTCTGTTTCTGTTTTTGATATGCTAACAGAAGCTCAAAAAAACATGATTACAAATGCTTGCGTTATTCAAAATTTTAAACCAGGTGAAACAATTGTAAAACAGGGAGATTATGGAGATGTTTTATATATTTTAAAAGAAGGTAAAGCTACAGTTTATATTAATGATAAAGAAATAAGAGTTCTTAATAAAGTAATTATTATATATATATATATATATATATATATATACGAACATACGTTTATTTTTTTTTTTTTTTATATGTAATACACAACTTTAATAAAATTATGTATTTCATAATTCTCCAATTTAATATAAATATATAAATATTTTATCTCTTGGTGGTGTAAAATATACAAGAATCTCTATATTATATATTATGTATATATTTTTATTTTTATTTTTTTTTTTTTTTTTTTTTTTTTTCTCGCTTTTTATTAATAGGGATCTTATTTTGGGGAGAGAGCATTATTGTACGATGAGCCAAGAAGTGCAACTATAATTGCAAAAGAATACACTGCTTGTGCATCTATTTGTAGAAAATTATTAAACATAGTATTAGGTAACTTGCAAGTAGTTTTATTTCGTAATATAATGACTGAAGCTTTACAACAAAGTGAAATTTTTAAGCAGTTCAGTGGAGAGCAATTGAATGACATAGCTGATACGGCTATTGTAAGAGATTATCCGGCAAATTATCATATTCTACATAAAGATAAAATAAAATCTGTTAAATATATCATAGTATTGGAAGGAAAAGTAGAACTTTTTCTTGATGATGAATCTATTGGTATATTAACAAGGGGAAAGTCTTTTGGTGATCAATATGTTTTAAATCAGAAACAAAAATTTAAGCATACAATTAAATCATTAGAAGTTTGTAAAATAGCTTTAATAACTGAATCATGTTTAGCAAACTGCTTAGGAAATAATAACATAGATGCTTCTATCGATTATAACAATAAAAAAAGTATTATAAAAAAAATGTATATATTTAGATATTTGACTGAAAACCAATGTAATTTATTAATTGAAGCTTTTAGAACAACCAGATATGAAGAAGGTGATTATATAATACAAGAAGGAGAAATGGGTTCTAGATTTTATATTATAAAAACAGGAGAAGTAGAAATAGTAAAAAATAATAAAAGATTAAGAACATTAGGAAAAAATGATTATTTTGGAGAAAGAGCTTTGTTATACGATGAACCCAGAACTGCATCTGTTATAAGCAAAGTAAATAATGTTGAATGTTGGTTTGTTGATAAAAGTGTTTTTTTACAGATTATTCAAGGACCCATGTTAGCACATTTGGAAGAAAGAATTAAAATGCAAGATACAAAAGTAGAGATGGAAGAATTAGAAACAGAAAGAATTATAGGTAGAGGAACTTTTGGTACTGTTAAATTGGTTCTTCATAAACCTACAAAAATTAGATATGCCTTAAAATGCGTTAGTAAAAGAAGTATAATTAACTTGAATCAACAAACTAATATAAAGTTAGAAAGAGAAATAACTGCAGAAAATGATCATCCATTTATTATCAGATTAGTCAGAACATTTAAAGATTCTAGATATTTTTATTTTCTTACAGAATTAGTAACAGGAGGTGAATTATACGATGCTATAAGAAAATTAGGTTTATTATCAAAACCACAAGCTCAATTTTATTTAGGTTCCATTATATTAGCAATAGAATATTTACATGAAAGAAATATTGTTTATAGAGATTTAAAACCAGAAAATATTTTATTAGATAAACAAGGATATGTTAAATTAATTGATTTTGGATGTGCTAAAAAAATACAAGGTAGAGCTTACACACTTGTAGGAACGCCTCACTATATGGCACCTGAGGTTATATTAGGAAAAGGTTATGGTTGTACTGTTGATATTTGGGCACTTGGAATCTGCTTGTATGAATTTATATGTGGTCCTTTACCTTTTGGAAATGATGAAGAAGATCAATTAGAAATTTTTCGTGATATATTAACAGGACAACTTAACTTCCCAGAATATGTTACAGATACGGATAGCATAAATTTAATGAAAAGATTATTATGTAGATTACCTCAAGGAAGAATTGGTTGTTCTATTAATGGATTTAAAGATATAAAAGAACATCCCTTTTTTTCAACTTTTGATTGGGATAAATTAGCTGGACGTTTACTTGATCCACCTTTAATATCAAAAGGAGAAACATATGCAGAAGATATAGATATAAAACAAATTGAAGAAGAAGATGCTACAAATGAAGAAGAGCCATTAAATGATGATGATAATTGGGACATAGATTTCTAATTTTAAAAAAAAAAAAAAGAAAAAAAAAAAAGTATATATAATTAGTTAATTACTATCCTATTTTAAAATTCACATTTTTTTTTTTTTTTTTTTTTTTTTTTTTCTATATCTTCATTTTAACTTTTGTTAAAGTAAAATTTTATCCTTTTATTAAAAAATAATTTGTAAAAATTATTTTATTTATATATATTTTAAAATTTATAATTTTTTGTGTGTATATATTTACTTAAATATTATCATTTCATCTATTATAACCTATATTTTTATTATGTAGAAAATTGCATATTTCATGAGTTTATACATTTATATATTTTTTATGTAAACAGAAAAATAAGAGAATTACATAATTTGTAATATATTTAAGAATCTCTTTTTTTTTTTTTTTTTTTTTTTTTTTTTTTTTTTTGTCTTTTTTATTTATATCCTTTTTTCCTTCTTCTGGAAAATTTGCATTTAGAGTATAATTGCATTTATATTTATTATAAAATTTTGAAATATATATAATTTTTATCATTACATTTATTATTTTTCAAATTTATAATATTATATATTTGTTAATATACTCATTAAAATTATATTTAGCAAACGCATAATTTATTGTAAATGAAATCTTGTAAAAAAAAAAATTGTCTTTATAAAATTAAAATATTTAAAATAAAATTTAAAATAATTCTTCTTTTTTCCTATAAATTATTTGAAGATATTTAAGTTTGCATTTATTTATAAATATATTTTTATTTTTGTAAGTTTTTTTTTTTTTTTTTTATATATTTTATACTTACAACTCTCTTCAGTAAAAATATTAAAAAAAAATTTTTTTTTTTTTTTCATTTGTTTTATAATATACTTTTAATTTTAACTACTTTAATATTTTTCCTTATTTCTATGAATTTTTTATTGATTTCTTAATCATTTTTTTTATATAAAGTATGAGGTAAAAGGGAAAAACTTGAATTATTTTTAACCACATGGAAAAAGACACATTAATATAACAAAAGTAAAAATGATATGAATTAAATAATTTTTAATTATTTTTTTCAATTTTATTTATTTTTGTTTTCAATTATCTATATAGTTTATAAAAAATTTCAAATAATTATTTAAAATAAAAAATGTTCCAATAAAATACTAAAAAAAAAAAAAAAAAAAATTAATAAAGTAACCAAAAAAAAAGTAATAAATAATTGAAATACTAATCAATGTAAAGGATAAAAAAAATAAACATTACATTTAAATATAAAATAAATATCCTTAATATACACATATTGTATAGAGTATAATAATTTTAAGTTATAGTTAAAAATAATAAAATTAAACAAGCTCTTTTTTTGTTCATACTTATTATAATAAACCTCTAAAAGGTAAAGGATGTTTTTGAGAATTAACTGTTAATGGCTCTTCTGATTTAAAATCAAAATATGTAACAAAATCCTTTTTATTTGGTACTAAATCTAAGCATATTTGTCCAAATAATCCTAATCTAAATAAATCAATAAAAAATCTGCAACCACCATTAATATCTAAATACTTATAATTTCTACATAAATTTAATTTTGTTGATATAACATTGCTGACAAAACGTATATCATTGGTTGGAGAATCTAAACCTATAACTTTAACATAATTATAATATTTATATTTATTCAATGTAAATAGTATATAATCCCCTACATACATATGATCATACTTATAATTCAAAATATTCCCTATTGCACTTAATTTTAAACTAATTTCCTTATCATTCATTTTAGGTAAAAAAATTCCTGGTGTATCTATAAAATAAATCAAAGGGTTATTAGATACTTTATAAGTATCAACTAATTTAGTCGTTCCTGCTATAATGTTTGTTTTTACTTTTTTTCTATTGACTTCAAATGCTATTTTATTATTTTTATAACCATATTTCCCCATATTATAAGTAACATCCTTAAAAGAATTAATAATACTTGACTTTCCTACATTTGGTAAACCTATTAACATAGCAAAAACACCAAAACTCTTAAATTTTGGCTTTATTTCTTTACATATATCTCTAATTTTTGATATATTCTTATTATATTTTGATGAAGTTAATAAACATATGGAATTAGTTTTTTCCTCAATTAAATTTTGTGCTTTTAAAGCTACTTTTTTTGATATTAAATCAACCTTATTTAAAATAACAATACGTTTTTTATTTTTATATTGTTTTAAGCTATCAATTATGAAGTCATTTGTACTAGTAAAAGGCAATCTAGCATCTCTAACTTCTATTATTAAATCACATATATCAAATTTCTTTTTAATATTTAAAGAAGATTTGTGCATATAATTAGGAAAACAAGTAATATTTACATCATAAATAAACTTATCTCTACATATAAAATCACTATATTTTTCCTTTTTATCTTGACTGTTTTTAATTCCTCCATCTATAGTATTCAGATATATATATTTTTTTTTTTCATCATTATTAATTACATCATCTAAATCTTTTTTTAAAAATATATCACTTAAATTAGGACCTAATTCCTTTTTCCATATACTTATATTTGAACTCATATCATAAATTGAAAAAGAAAATTATATTCAAAATGTGTAAATTTTCTAATTTATATATTTATATCGTAGTATTTTTTTTTTTCTTCATTAATATTTTTTAAATTATATTTTTATAATATTAATTCTCTTGTATATATATACATATATATACTTTTTTAAAACAATTTAAAAAAAAAGAAATATATAAATCTATCTTAAATTAATATAGTTTATTATTTTTAATAATTTATTAAAAAAAAATTCTTAGGAAAAAAATAAAAATAAATAGTAAAAACAAATGATGAATGTTACAATATCTAATTTAAAAAATTATAAATAAAAAATTATTTGAAAATTAATTGAAAATTAATTGAAAATTAATTGAAAATTAATTGAAAATTAATTGAAAATTAATTGAAAATTAAAATAAAAATCTTTTTATTTATATTGCAAGTTTTTTTTCATATATATAAAAAAAAAAAAAAAAAAAAAAAAAAAAAATCGAAATTACACAAGGTTTTTTCAAAATAAAATAAAAAATACAAAACTAGTAATTTTAAATCATGTTTGTTACTACTATTATACAAAATGTTATTATTTAAAAAAATAAAGTTATTTGTAACTTTTTTTTTTTTTTTTTCCAATCTTATTAATAGTATATATAAATTAACTTTTTAATCATCTTTTTTCCAAATGTTTTAAATATCTTGTTAGAATTTTAAGACTATAAAAAAAAAAAAAATAAAGAAAAAAAAAAATTGTAAATATTAAAATGTAGACATTTTTTGTAACTTTCTTTTTATTATAAAAGATATAAAACAAATTATTTTTCTTACTTGGTATTATTAGATGGTATATTAAAAGAGGATATTTTTCTGATATCATCTTTTTTTAAAAAACGAAATAACTTAATAAGTATCCCTTTAATGTTGCAATATTTGTGAATATAATCTAAAGCAATTATAAAAATAATATTTTTACACATATCATCTGAATTCATTCCTTTCAATATTTTAAAAATATTATTTATAACAAATGTATTTTCTTTATTATATTTCAGTAGACTCAAACAGATGTATATTAGGTTTTCTTTAATAGATAAACTTTCGCTTGAATTTGTTCTAATATAAATATAAGAACAAATGTAATTTATATATTGAGCTATAAAAAGGAAGTTTCTTATATTACTTATGGTATTATTTATATTATCTTGTAAATTATAATTCATAATACTAGAAAACTTCTTATCAAAATTATTATTAATATTTTCATCTACATTTGCTGAAAGTGTATTATCAAAATTGTTATTTACATTGATGTGCAAGATGTTTGAATCGTTATTTTCATTGATATTTAAACTATTTATATTAAATTCATTTTCATTAAAAAGATTATAAAGTAATAGGTTTATATCGTAACTTGAGCTATTAAGTACATGATGTTTACAAAAATTGCTATCTTTCATATTTGATTTATTTTCATTTTTATTTGATTTAAAAATTTTCCTTTTTTCTGTGAATCTTAATGCACATATAATGGCGTTAATATATATATTTATGTTTTTTATAATACGTTGACTATAGTTAAAAATTAATTCTAGTATATTTATTGGAAGAATTCTATTACTACTATTAAAAAATATAAATTGAAAGTGGGTGTATATATGAATGATAAGCAAAATTAATTTTTTTTTGTATACTTCAGATTTTTCACTGTTTAAATATATATAGTACATAAATGTATCTAAAAAAAATTTATCATAGATATTTAATATTATCGTATATTTACTAATATCATTTAAAATATGTTCATTTATATAATAACGTTTCTTGATATAATTAAAACCAATTTCAGTTTTTTTTTCATATACAGAAATTAATTTCATATTTTCTTTAATATTATCCATAAGATTCATTAATTTTATATTATTATCCTGTTTGTTGTAATAAAAAACGAAATTGTAAAATAATTTATTATATATATGCAAAAAGTTTATAATTATATAATTTTCTTCATATAACTGTGAAAACAATTTATTCACAAAAATAATTTGTTTTTCAAAAAATATGGAACAGGTATTATATAATATAGTTATTATGTTATTAGAATTTAAATAGTTAATTTTTTTTATTAAAACAGTAATCATTTCCTCATTGATACTGTTGATAATATCTAAGCATTCACTTATCACTTTTAAATTATTATTCTCCATTTCTGATTCATTATTAAAAAAATCCTCACATTTCCTTATTAAATTATTTGCATCTAAACTATCTGTTGTCTCTTCTTTTTTTTTCTCAATATTAATTTCATTTATTAATTTATCATACTCATCATAATTTATACTTGAAAATTCTTCTATATAATAATTTTGAATAGAAAATGAGTTTTTTTTTTTTTTGTTTTTTTTAAAATCTTTGGCTAAAATTCTATTTATAGATATATATAAGTATATTAAATATTTTATATTCATATTTTCAAAATTCTTGTCTTTCAAAATTAATAAAAAATCTTGAAAAAATTCACTTTTACTTTTTATAAAATACCTGAACATATTATATATTTCCGAAGTGTCATAGCTTTCTATGTTTTCTATTATTTTTTTAAATAAATAATGTAACATATCTTTATTGCATATTTTTAATATACTTCTAAATATTTTTAAATGTATTTTATTATATTTTAACAACTCCTCATTTATTATATATTGAAATATAATTTTGTCTACATATGATATGTATTTTTTACGTTTATATAAATTTTCATAAATATCAAATAAATAATTATTTATAATTATAAATTCTTCACTTTTATTTTTTGAAATTGAAGGTGCTATGAGTTTATTTATACAATTTACGGGCATTTCTTTGAAAATTTGATTATTATTAAGACAACTATCTTTTTTTTTTTCTTCTAACGAATCTTTATTTGATGTTTCATTTTTTTCATTAAAGTAACTATATCTTTTTATATTTATATATTCTTCTTTTATTAATTCATAAAAATAGTGATTTAAATAATTTATAATTTGTTGAAATTTCTTGGATGAAAAATCAAAATTATGTATGCAACTGAAAAGATAATATTTGTTCAATGAACTTAAAAACTTATAATCGTCTTTTACATTATTACACATTAATATTACTAATTCCTTATCTATCATGTTAATTTTAGATAGTAAATAAGTATAAGAAAAATACAAATCAGTATTTATGTTAATATTATTATTTTTGAGGAAATTTGTAATTACCCTAGTGATATCCAATTTTCTTTTATCATCAACTTTTAAATTGCATTCAATTAGTAACTTAAAAATTACTAATAAATGTTTTAGCCAAATGTATTTAATATCATTTATATTTATATCTTTATAAAAATTGACATAATAATCGTTTGAACTATTAATACATGAATTTTCAGTTTCTCTTTTATTTTTACTTTCAATCGATTTTCGACTTAATATATTTTTATAGACTATGTTTTTATGAGTAATTCTATTGACGTTATTCAATTTTTCATTTTCATTAATCACTTCATTAATTAATTTAACATCATTTTTGTCTTTATTTTGTTTATGACACTCTTTTTTTTCTATATTTATAAGTTCCTCATTTATAGAAAAAAAGTTTGAATTTTTTTTTTTTCTATAAAATAACTTAACATATTCTTTTAATACATTAATTGAAATTTTGTTGTAATATCTCCATTTGATATGTAAATTGTTTATTGAATCGCGAAATATGTGACTTTTATCTTCTAATTTATATAAATTATTATTGATATAATCTATATATTCATTTCTATATATGCAATTACTTTTCTTGTTTGTATCAAATATTATAAGATTTAATATATAATTAATTTTATTATTTATTTCCTTTTCTAAAATTATATAAGATAATTTATGAGTATTTATATTTAATTTTTCTATAGGAAATGTTTTGAATTTCATGTTATAATAATTCAGTTTAATTTTTTCTCTTTTTTTTTTTTTTTTTAAGGGATAAAATTTTAAAGATTTTTTATTTTTTATAATTAAAATATTTTTGTAATTTTTAACTTTTCTTCATCTTTTTATCAAAATAGTATTATTCATTTTTATTTATTGACTAAATATATATATATATATATAAATGTTTTTATCAATTTATACTTCATTATTACATGAAGCATATAGTTAATCACAATCTATGTTGAATATGTTGGAAAAAATAAGTAAACTTATATAAAAATTTTTAAAATTTAAAAAAATAAAAATAAAATATTAAAGCTAAATATATAAAATAAATAACATTCATTATAATAAACTAGAATAACCTCTATAGTGATTAGTTTATTAAAGATTACAAAAAAAAAAAAAAAAAAAAAAAAAAATTCAAATTATCAAACCTACTTTTAAAAATTTTTAAAAAAATATATATTGTTTTTGTTCTTTATTTTCTTATAAATTTAAAACAAAATAAAAAAACTTAATAAGCAAATATACATACTTTATAAAAAATCAAATAAAAAATAATCAAATATTTATACTTTCGAATATTATGAATGTTAAAAAATAAAAATCAAATCTTAAAAAAATTAAAAAAAAAAAAAAAAAATTTTACCATATTTTTTTATAATATTGTCAACTCCTTAATTAAAATTAAAAATTTACTGTTTTTGTTTTTTAAAATAATATGAAATTAACAGTAATTAATTTTAAACTTAAAATAATTTTTTAAGAAATTTAAATAACTTTTCTATATTTAAAAAATTTTCGTCAAAGTGATTTATAAATAAGTATATTTTACATTTTTATCTTTCATGTTTTTTCCTTATGTTCCTTTATATGTTGATAATATTTTTTTAGGAGTAATTTTTTAGCTTCCTTACTATATGGTAATTTAAGGATTTTCTCTTTTAAAATATTTAAATCTGGAACTTCAATTAACATTTTATAGAAATAGTTATTTATCAAATCTTCATATGATATTCCTTTATTAGATGGAAATGGATACTTGATACTATTATTTTTTTTACTTCTAGAATTATCTTTATTTTGTATCTCTTTGTTATTTTTAGTATATTGTTCATTTTTTAAAGAACAACTTTTTCCACTACATCTGTTTGTCAATTTTTTTTCATTATTTTTTTTTGTATTTCGTAAATTTTTTCCATTTAATGAATTAGCATTTTTTTTATTATACGAAAAATATTTATTTGCATTATTATAATTTTTGTTATTCATATTTGTTAATTTTGGATTAGCAATCTTTTTATTCGTTTCTTTATTGGACTTAAAATTAACTGGTATATTTCTTAAATGAGAAGGTTCTTTTAAGTTATTGTAATCAAATTGGCGAACCATTCTATCAAGCTCCTCTTTCGAAAATATAGTAAAGTTGTTATCTTCATTCGTTAAATTTTTATAAGTCATTTTAACATTTTCAATATTTTGTGAACTTGGAATTTTTTTTTCATTTTTCTTATCATTTTCAATCATTTTAATTAATTTCAAAATTTTTTGTTTTTTATAATAATCTGAATTATTACTAATTTTATCGTTTGAATTTACATTATTTTTCTGTACATTTTTTTCGTTTTTTGATATTCCCAAATTTTTATTATTTTCTTTCAAATATTTTATTAATTCCTCTTTTTTATCATATGCAGAAGTATAAATATAATTATTACCAATTAATTGTGGTGCTGGGTGATTGTAGTTTACTGGTATTCCTTGATATGAGTGTTCTATTTGTTTGTATGAATCGTAATAATCATCCTCCTTATCTTCTTCTTTATTTTCCATCTTTTTTTGCTTTAAGTAATCAATAGCTTTGGGATCATAACTAATATGATAATTTCCATAAGATTCTAAATATTTCTTAAGTTGTTCATTATATAAACCAGATGTTTCATTTATTGATATATCTTTTTCATCACTTGGGTAAGGAGAAAGATCAAAAAAGCTATCATCAGGTGAAGCTAACATTTCTAATTCTTCATCGGTTAAATCATCATAAGTTAATTTCCCTTCTTCAATTAACTTTTTAAGAGCTTCAATGTTTATTTTGCTATTTTCTTCATTTTCATCATTATCTTCATTATTTTCTATCTTTTTTTGATTTTTATTTAAAGTGCTGTATTTATTGATAACATTATCTATATGTTCATCATCCGTTCCAAAATGTTCCTTTAATTCATTTTTTAAATTACTTATACTATATGAATCCGTGTTATTATCTTCATCATCTTCATCATCTTCATCATCTTCTCCTAAATTCTTATGGTTATCCATTTCTCTGAAATTTGAATTGTCTTTTTCTTCTAAGTCCAAATCAGAATTTTCATTATCTTCCATGTCATATGTATCCAATTGATATTTAGTATTATCTCCATAAAAATTATTAATATTATTGAGAGATGATGATATTAATTTTTCTTCACTCGTTCCATAGTTATCATCATTAAAATTAAAATTTCTCTTATTACTGTTACCATCTTCATTGAATAAGTTTTCTTGTTCATCTATGTATGTTTCTTCTTCATCTGAATTATCAGATAGTGTTGTTGCATCATCGTTATCTTCTTCTGGAGTTTTATTCATACTATTTAAAATGTCACCAAATGTGTTAAGTTTATCTTCAAAAGAAACTTGATTTTTATTTGAATTAGATACATAATAATTATTATTATTGCCTTCATTATTCTTTTTACTAGTTATATCATTTTTGGTTTTTAAATCATCAAATGTTGAATTTATTGGTAAATTTGCCATAAACTGTTTAAATGCATCATTTTGTAAGTAATTGCTATTGTTTAACATTTTATTATTTTTAATATTTTCTTTTAATTTATCAACATTAAAACCAACATTTTTTAATGTATCTTCTAATTTATTCTTTATATCATTTAATTTTTTTAAATTTTCTGCATTTAATGAAGAATCTTCATTATTTTTTTTGACAAATGGATTATCTTCATTTTTGTAAATGTCCTCATTACTATCTCCTGAGTAATTAGTATCATTATCACTATCATCATCATAATCAACATCATCATCATCGTCATCATTTCTTAAATTACCTTTATTTTTATTTACATCAATATTCTCCTCATTTCCTTTCTTTTCTTCTACATCAAAATTTTTCTTATCAATTGCATTAACCATGTCTTTAAAAATGTTACCAAATATATTATTTTTATTATCAAAATTATTACCTACACTATTTCCTAAAGAATTTAAAAAAGATTGAAAAGCATCATCATTCAATATTTTCTGAAGATTGCTTCCACCTAAATTTCCTGGAAAAAATCCATTCAAACCTAAAATACTATCTTGTAATGGATTATCCTCAAAATTTAAATTTACATTGTCATCATCACCTAAATAATTATCCCTTCTATCATCATTTACATCATCATTATTCACAGAATCCATACCAGAAGATGACTCACCATATTTTTGTTCTTCATCTTCACCTCCTCTTGAACTACTGTCATCATCTGGTAAACCATGGTTAATCTTTCTTATTACGCTGTTATCATCTTTTTGTTCATTTGATTGTTGTGAAGAATCATCACTTTTTTGTTCTATATCTTCATTATCATCTTCACTAATATCATCTTCATTATTATTATCTATATTACAAGATTTGTTACATACTGGTTTTTGATTCAAATTTTTATTTTTGTTTTTTGCAATAACGCAATTATAATGAATTAATATATAAATGAAAAAAAAAATTAAAATTAATGACCTCATGTTAATTACAATTTTTATATTACAAATTAAAAAAAAAAAAAAAAAAAAAAAAAAAAAAAAAAAAAAAAAAAAAAAGCTAAAAAAATATTAAAAATCTACAAGTATTATATATTGTTCTTTATGATAATTTTGTTTACCTAATATATTTAACACATACAAAAAAGTTTTATAATAAAATCTATTAAAAAAAAATTCTACTACTTAAAGAAGTAAGATATATCATACTATAATAAATGTTGTAACATTAATTATATATATAAATAATCATTTTATTAATATATATTTTCTATATAAAAATAAATGTTATCATGTTATTGAAATATGTAACAAAATATATGTAATAATTATGTTTATTCATTATAATGAAATTTATATAAAAAAAAAAATATTACTGTAATCAATTCTGTGTTTTAAAAATATATATTCTTATATATACAAAATATTTGTTGTATTATATATTTTGATAAATTAATTATAATTCTTTTTTATTCTTGTATTTTTTGAAGTACGGTTAATTGAAATATTAATCTAAAAGAAAAAAAAAGAAAGAGTAAAATGAAAAGTAAATGTAGGTCAATAATTTAAAAATAAAATTGTATAATAATAAAAATATAAGGAAATATTATATCCAAAAAAAAAAAAGAAAATTAATATTAATAATATCAAATACTTTAAATAAAACTCACAAAATTAAAAGTATTAAAAATTTTATCATTAGGTTGAAAAAAAAAAAAAAAAAAAAAAAAAAAAAACGACAACATATATAGTGTGTTTTAAACTTATCAAATGAACAACAGCTGTTTAAAAAATTAATTCATAAATATATTTAAGCACTATGTTTAATCTTTTTTTTTTTTTTTTTTTAAGATAAAGAACGATAATTTAACAATGTAATTATAAATACTCTAGAAATATAAACAATTAAAAATTGCATGTAACAGTGGCGAGTTAATGAATCAAAAAGAATTAAACAAAAAAAAAAAAAAAAAATTTAAGCATAAAAATAAATTTTTTCTTCATTACTTTTATACATGTCATTTCTTAAATTACTAAAGAAATATTTATAATAAGTAATAATATGAAATTTTACAGCCATTATTAATTCTTTTTTTTTTTTACAATTTTATATAAAGCTATATAATATTTATATCAATTTTTTTTTTCTTTTCTATAAAAAAAAATATTATTATTTCTATTTTTTTTTTTTTTTTTTTTTTTTAGCACTTAAGCATGCAAGCAAAAGATTACTATATTTTATTTAAAAAAGCTCATTGAAAGGAAAATGCTAAATAAAAATATTTAATATAATAATCATTAAAAAATAAAATATTAAAAAAATATATATTTTTTATTATTTTTGAATTTTATTATTTTTTTTTTTATTTCCTTTTTTTTTTTTTTTTTTCTTGAGATCCATATAGATTCCATAATTATTAGGTACTTCATAAAATGATTAAAATATTTTTATATTTTAAAAATATATATTAATAGAAAAAAAAAAAAAAAAAAAAGAAAAAGGCATTTCTATTCTTTACTTATTAGTCTATTCAAATAGGATTGTAATAGTAGAAAAATAATTATAAATAGTAAAACAGCTATTCCTTTTTCTTATTAGTTCATAAAATAAAAGGAATAAAAAAATTAAAGTAATTATTTAGTTGGTATTTATATTAGTTAAAGTATTTTTTTGTGCTTAAAAAAAATTTCTATTTATATCAAAGGAGAATAAAACAAAACATAAATGGTAAATTTGTTATAAATAAAAAGGCTAAAATAAATAATAAATTAAATCAAACAATTCATTAAAACATATATATACACAAATATAAAAAGTAAAAATACTATTAAGTGTAATAAGAAATTTATAAATGTAATAAGATTTACCCTGAGATTATAAGAACTTTTGGGGAATTAAATTAATGTTATATTTTTTTTTATTATAATTATAATATACCAAATATATATTCTATAAAATTTTATTACGTTATGTTTTTTACATATATTAAGATGAAATCAAAATCTTATAAAAATAAAAAGAGAAATTTTTATTTAATTCGTATATATTTGTTCTGGTAAATATTGTTTCTTAACAGAAATATGTGAATTAATCATAGTGCAAAAATAAGATAATTTTTATAATAAATAAATAGAAAATTTTTATATTTCTATCTTTTTAAAAAATTTAAATTCTCTTTCATTTCGTATTGAAATTAAGATTTTGCAAAGTAATAATTCTTAAACTATTAGTTTAATTAATTAAAACTACAAACAAAAATTAAAAGGCTTATATATATATATATATATATATATATATATAATCTTATATGAATATAATATTAAAGGAAAGATAACAATGAAATAAAGTAAAAAGGTATAACTTATTTTTATAATTAAAATTTTTTTTTTGTAAGAAATTTACTATTATTCATATGTATACAACTAAAGATATATTTTAAAAAAATGAATATTGGCATAACTTAATAGATATAAAAATCTTAAAAACATAATTAAAAGTATATTTTTTTAATTTTATTTTATATTTTTTAGTTTTTATTATTCTACATCAATCTACAACTTAGAAAATTATTGAGTGATATTTGTGATCTTATTATTATAAATTTACTTTAGTTATAATTATTTATTTAAAAAAAATTGTTTATACATTTTCCTTGAATTTAAGGAATTATATTGTCCTCTTTTTTTTTAAATAGTTTTAATTAAAAATGTAATTATAACGAATTTTGCAAAACTTTGTTTTATTTTTTTTTTTTTTTTTATATATAATATAATAATATCTAAAAATAGGTTATTCGCAATATTATGTTAGTATATAGAAATGTGTATTCAAGTATGAAAAAAAAAAAAAAAAAATTTATAGAAGTGATAATTTATAACTTAAAATAATTAACTTTCTATTTATTTTTCTTTATCTTTTTTATTTTTCCTTTCACTTATTTATATTTAGTTTTATTAATACTTTTTCATACCTACTGCTTTAATAATTTATACATTTGTATGGATAATAAAAAGCAATTTATTTATTCCTGTAAATTAGCAATTTAGTTTATTATCATAGTGTTAAAATTTATAACTATCTCTTTATTAAATTTATTTTTTTCTTATTATTTTCTATTGATTGATATAGGTTTGCACCTAGTGCATCATAAAAAAAAATTACATAAATTAACCATTTTATAATTAAAAAGGAAAAAGATATATATATAATTATATAAATAATTAATAATATTTTATTTTTTTTTCGTTTCAATAAATTAACATTGATAACATTGAAATTAGAAAATTTATTGAAAGAAAATAAAAAAAAAATATTCAAGTTACATAAATTTTAAAAAATAAAATAAATAACATTAAAGACATTTTTAATTCTAAAGCTTGTTTAAAAAAATATAAACAATTAACATTTATATTTTGTCTATAAAGAACTTTAAAAATAGATATATTACAAAATAAAAAAATTTGATTTTGTAATCAAAAAGTGCAAATTTATATCTAGAATTGTTCTATATATTTTTAAGTAAAAATTTTTTATTATTAATATAGAAATAGAAAAATATTTTTAATAAGATACTTAATTTTAATGTTTTTAAAAAAAAAAAAAAAATTTATATACTAAATTTATTTTTATATATTTACTAAAAGTTGAACATATATAAATATATATATATATATTTTTTACATTTACATATTTATATGCTTATTCATCACTATACTTATCTTTACATGGATGAAGAATGTAAAGAAAAAAAAAAAAAAAAAAAAAAAAATTATGATAATAAATATTCAATTAATAATTATAAATAAATAAATAGTTTTAATTTAAAAAGTAGTTATATAAATAGTCATATAAATTATTATATAAAAAATATATGCAAATCGGATATGAAAGACAAAAAAAAAAGTATATATTTTTATAAAGATAGACAAAAGGAAAGCTTTGAAACAAGATCTGAAGATAATAATTTAAATATATATGAAAAAAGAAAAGAATGTGAATATGATTCCCATTATGAAAATACAGATATAGAGAATGTTATTAAAAGAAAAAGCACATGTGATAATAATTCTAAGAATTCGAAAAGTTCCTTTTTTTATGAAATAGAAAATTCAGAAAAAAGTCAAAACGATTACTCAAGTATTTATGAAAAAGAAAAAAAAAGTTGTTCACGAAAATCTTTTTATTCTATCTATGACTATACTGATGAAAATAATGATAGTGATTATAAAATTATAAAAAAAAATAAAAAAAATAATTTAACTTACAAAGAAAGTTGTAAGTCATGTTACAACGATAAAATGATAAAAAGTGTGTATGATAATAATTATTATATGCATATTTATGATAATGATAATATGAATAGTAATAATCTGCTAGTGAAAAGCAGTAATAAAAATAATAACAAATATAGAAATAAAAATAAATACTTCAATAGAAAAAAAAAAGTTAAAAAAGATCTTATAAATAAAATAGATGAATTAGTTAAATATTATAAAATTTATAATATGAAAGGAAAGTATCATTATGTAGGAATAACTACCATTCTGAAAAAATATATATATGTTATAAAAAATAATAATATTTTATTTTTTAAAAAAAAGTTAAATAACAAAAAAATTCTTTTAATTAATAAAATTAAAAAAAGATATAATAACTGCAACACATTTTATTTTATACAAAAAAAATATTTATATAATATTGAAGGTAGACAAAAAAAAAATAAATGTTTCTTCTATAGATACTTATATTTTTGCAAACTAAAAAAAAAATTGCAAAATTATTATAAACAGAGAAAAATAAAAAGAGAAAAAAATTTTAAAAATTTAATGAAATTCATAAATAGTCAAATAAAAAAAAAATATTTTTTCAATAAATATATAGATTGTAGATTGAAAGATGAATTTGATAAAAACAAAAACATAATTAATCAGAAATGCAATCCTGATGAAAATATTATAAAAAAATATCTTATGTACTGTTTTCAAAATAATATACACAATTTTAGAGAATCATTAGATAATGAAGAGAATTATAAGAAATTCAGTAAATATAAAAAAATTTTTATTCAAAATTTCAAAAATTATACAAATTATAAAAAAGAAAAACAAAACGAAAAAAAAAAAAATGATATAACAGAAAAGAATAAAAAATATTTTAGTATTGAAACTAAAATGAAAAATATGTTTAGAGAAAAAAAAAATAATAAAAAAAATGAAGAAGAATTTGATATATGTCTAGATTGCAGACAACTATATGTGAATTATGTAAAAGATTCAAACAATTATAATAAATTTAAAAATGGCATATTATTAAGTGATATAAATATAATTAAAAAACTGATTTTATCAAGAAAAGAAAAAAATGAAAATTATACTGACAATAATAAGGTTAACAACAATAATAAAAATACTTTTAGTTGCAAAAATAATATGAATGAAAAAAAAAATAAGATATATGATAACATAAAAAAAAAAAATAACTGTAGAAACAGAAGTATTACAAAAAATTGTAACAATAATAAAAATAATATTGAAAAAATTAATCATGAAAATAATAATAATGCTAATATCAATATTAATACTGATAATGATAAAAATATAGATAATAATGATAGTAAAAATATTAATGACAATAATGAAAAATTAATTAATGAAAATAATAAAATTATTAAAAGTAACAATAATAAAAGTATTATTAACATTAGCATAGAAGATATTAATGCTACTACTATTGAAAATAAAAATAAGAATAATATTGGTGTAAATAATTACAATATTGAAAATATAAATTCTAATAATGTTGAAGAGATTAATAATAGTAGTAATGAAAAGATAAATAGTGATAAAAATGAAAACATGAATAATAATAGTGATAGAAATGCATACAATGAAAATAAAGAAAATGTTAGCATAAATTATATTAAAAATAATAATAATGATAGCTCAAATGAGAAAGAATATCTTAATATGAACAAAAGTAAGAAATATATTAATTTAGAAAAATCATTAAAAAATGAAATGATAAATGAAGTAGATAATTTTTCAATAAATGACGAAATAGATAAGACTCTTAATTGCGAAAAATGTGATTCAACATATGAAAATGAAGAAAAAAATAATCAAAAAGATATTTGTAATACTATCAATTATGAGATAGAAATACAGACAAAAATGGAAAAGGAATTAAAAAAAAATTTAGAAGAAATTGTTAGAAATTATATTAATAATGATGTTGTTAATCAAGATGTTGAATTTAATAAAATAGAACAAAAAACTATAAAAGAAAAAAATCATACAGAAAAAGATATGCATATTGAAAAAAGTAGAAAAACAATTTTGAATAATAATTCTTTTTCTTTGTATACTCATGAAGAAAATTTAGATAAGAATTTTAAAGTAGAATCTATTAGTAATTTTTTTCATTCATTTCAAAATATAAATAGTAAATATATCAATTTAGAATTAAGAAAAAGAAAGAAAAAGAAGAAAGTTAAAAAGAAAAATAAGTATGAACTAGAAATAAAAAATTTAGTTGGAGAAAAAGAAAATAATGAAATTTGTAGCAGTGATTTTAAAGTATCAAAAGATTTACATAATTTTTATTCCCATCTTCATAAGAAAATTCTTAATGAGTTTAAAGAAAGATGCTTAAAAAAAATGAAAAAAATATTTAATAAAAAATGTAAAGAAATTGAAAAAGATATTTCAGAAAATCTAAGGACAGTAGTAAATACATTTAATAGTTTAGGTAATATTAATAATAATGATATACACATATGTAAAAAAAAAAAAAAAAAAAATTTAAATAGTGAAATAAAAATAGATTGTGAAGATAAAAAATTAACTAATAATAAAGTAAATACTCAAATATTTAATGACAAAAATAATTTCATTAACACCACTGATCATAGTAATTTTTATAACAATGAAACTAGAAGTGATAACAATAATATCCAACATAGTAATAGTATATATATTGATAATGATTTCATTCAAAATAATTCAATTACTTATATTAACAACACTAGTAGCATGGAAAATATTTTCAAAAGTAACTCCGATATTAGTAATAGATATGCTGAACATACTAGCTGTAACGAAATTTATAAGAAACAACAAAATGAAAAAATCAATATTACAAATTTACTTAATATAAATAAAAAGAATATTTATAAAAAACAAAATTCTCTTAATTCAAAGAAAAATTATGGAAATGAAAAGGGTGATGTACTATTGAACATTTTACGTAATAAAAGTTTAAATGACTTAAACAAAAATTTTATATTTAAAAATTTAAATTGCAAGAAATTTTGTAAATCTATAAAAAATGATTTGAACAATAATATAAATGTATTAAAATATTTAAATATTGTAAAACAAAAAAATGTTGGTGATAATATTCTTAAAAAAATAAATAATACTGCTAACCATTACAACCCATTGAATAATAGAATAAGTGATAAAAATTATATAAATGAATTTTTCCAATATATAAAAGATAAAAGTATTACTAATAAGAAATTACCTAATTCAACAAATGAAACAAAAAAATCATCAAATGAAATGATAAAAACTGAAAGAAAAAAAAAAAAAAAAAAAAATTTATTTAAGAAATTTGAATTATTTAAAAAAAAAGATATAATAAAAGTAAATAGACAAAAAATTAATAAAAAAATACATTCTATTAGCTTATATAATAAAATTAAAAGACAATTAATTGAAAAGAAATTAAACGATGTCATTTTTTCAAAGCATAATAACAATTTAAATAGTTCCAAGAAATGTGAAATAATTAATGACATGAAGTTACATTTAAATAATAAAATTAATAATGAAATAAGTAATAATATAAAAAAGGCACCTGTATATATATACAGAATAAAACATAAGAATAAGTATATCCCTATTAAAAATTATAAATATTCCTTTTTATTTGTAAGAAAACCAATTTATATTCCATTAATAAAATATAAATATATTCCCTATTATTATTATGATAATAGAAATAGTAATACAGGATATATTTTGAATAACCCATTTGAAATTAAAAAAATACATAACTTGAATGATCGTAAAGGAAAAAATGGGAATCATAGTTGTAATTATATAAGTAATAATAACCACAAAATTAATTATGATAATAATATTACTAATAATGTGAACAAAAAAATGAATATCGTCAATAAGGGATTTAATTGTAAGAACACATATAATAATATAAATGATTATTATACTAGCATAGATGAAGCACATAATATACACAATAATAATCATAGCAATTTTAATGATACTTATAAAAATTTATGTAAAAATGAACATTTATGTGTTAATAAAAAATATGCATGGAAGAACATAGACAGAAAAATTTATGCAAAAGGAAAGATATATATAAATAAGAATAACCATATAATAAATAAATACAACAAAACATATAAATACCATATAATACGTATAAGTAATAGGATGAAAAATATTCGTTATAACTTTTTTATTTATAATATATTTAAACATCTTTACAAATTAAGTAAATATAGGAATCATAAAGGAGTAGATTTAGGAGAAATATCATATTTGAAATTTAATGTAAATAATAATGAAAAATGGAAAAATGAGAAATTTAATAATTTTAATATTCATTATAAAATAAAGAAAAATAGCAGTTCTTTAATAAACTACAATTTAAATGATAATAATGATAAAATGAAATATTTATTTGATAAAAATCCAAATAATTTTAATTTTTTCGAAATTGTTCAAAATAAAAAAAAAGTAATTGATGGAAATAATACAAATGTAAATGGTATAAAAAGTTATGATAATATTTCTGCTTTTTACTTAAAAAAAAATTCATATAAAGACACTATTTTAAAAAAAAAAAAAAAAGATTTTGACACATTTAATTATAATATAAAAAATGTTCCAAAAGATAATAAAAACAACATAAAATTGCATCTTAATAATTATTATAAAATAAATGAAGATATGTTACCATATTCAAACAAAAATAAAACTTGTTCAAAAAATTGCATATTAAGATATACATATAGTGCATATAATAATATGAATAATATATATAATACAAAATTATATCAAATTAATAAAAATAATTTAACAAGATGCCAACTTAAAGTAAAAAAAATTTATTTTAGTCAAACAAATCAAACAACTCAAATAAAAGATAATTATTTAGGAAATACTTCATTAAATAACACACTAAAAGACAATTATTTTTATAATATAAATAACACCAATTTAACAAATGCAACACTAAAAAATAAGAACATTGAAAGCTTTCATATATGTTCAATTAATTCTTTAAAAAACAAACATATCAAAAATACAAAATACAAACATAATATAGAAAATATATGTATATATAAAGATTTTTAAAAAATATACTGCTTTTTTTATTTCCTTTTTTTTTTTTTTTTTTTTTTTTTTTTTTTTATTTTTTTACGTAACTTCAAAATGACATTGTAATAGATAAACCTATATAAAAATAAAATACATATATAAATGAACTTCCTTTTTAATTTTTTTTTTTTTTTTTTTTTTTTTTTTTTCTTTTAATTATTTACGTAACTTCAAAATGACATTGTAATAGATAAACCTATATAAAAATAAAATACATATATAAATGAACTTCCTTTTTAATTTTTTTTTTTTTTTTTTTTTTTTTTTTTTAANACATAATATAGAAAATATATGTATATATAAAGATTTTTAAAAAATATACTTCCTTTTTAATTTCCTTTTTTTTTTTTTTTTTTTTTTTTTTTTTAACTTAAAATTTTTTTTTAAAAAGAAAAGTTTTAAGTTTTGAATATACCTGATCATTCTTATGCATCATAAAACATTTTTGCGGACAAGGGATAACTATGCTCATATTATTTTCTTCATTATGTCTATAAACACCAATTATTATTGATCCCTTTTTAAGATACCTCTGAAAATAAAACAAAATAAATGTATAATGGAATATAACTTATAAATATTTTTGTTCAACTGATTGTACTTGAAAAATAAAGAAAAAGTTTCTACAGTGGTATTTGGGATTAATTTTTTTTAGTAATAACTCAGTTTTTATTTTTTTTTTTTTATCAGCATATGTTCCTTTGATAAAAGCTTCAAGTATATAAATATTTAATGAAGATTCTTTAATTGGGAATGTATATCCAATTAAATGATAAATTAATTCATCAATAAATATACTAGCAGATGTGAAATGTAAAAAATATAAATAAAAAAAATAATTATCAACAAAAATATGTTCAATTTTTTTGTAGATATTTTCTACAAGTAAATTTCCATAATTAAAAAATTGCGTTTGCTTTTTATGCTTTTCTAGAGATAATAAATATTGTGAATTGCTTTTATTTATATTATTAGATATATTTTTTAATAAGTTATTATTTTTATAAACATCATTATTTAAATATTGAACTGATAAAGTGTTGTTTAATTCTATTAGTAAATATAAATCCTTTTTTTTTCTTTTTTCTTTTATTTGTTTTGTATTATGTATTTCCTCTTTTTTTCTGTAACTACCTTTATTAGAAAAGTATAATTTATTTTTTAAGTAATCATTATATGCAAAGGATTCGTTATTTTTTTTTATACAATAACTTACAAAAGAGTTGTTAACATTTCTCCTCATAAAAATATTTTGAATATTATTATAAATAATTATTAAGTTATTATCATTATTTTCACAGATATATTCAAAAAAATTTATACTCTTTCTTTGTTCATTGTAGGATATTATGTTTTGATGAGAATCTAACTTTAAGTAATTCTTAAAAATTATGCATTTCTGACATTCTAATATTCCTGAAACTATTAAATTAAACAAAATCAAAGGAGATTTTTGTATATAACATATATTATATTTATACTTTGATAATGTATTATTATATATGTAAGAAGGAATTTGGTCACTTAATATAATTATATTATGTTTTTTTCTTCTAAATAATATTTTTAGAAATGTATTTAATGATTCAGGCCAATAAATTAATATAATGAAATCTGTATTTTTATATTTTCTTTTTTGTTTTTTTTTTACATTCTTGTTATAAGAGAAACTATTTTTATTCCAAATAAAGAAAATTTCTTTATTAAAAAGACTTTTTTTTTTCAATATTCCTTGGGTACCTTTTTTTTTTTCGTTTATTATATTTCTTTTAGTTTTGTAACAATTTACTGCTTTTTTTTCATCTTCACTTTTATAATAATGTACTTTTTTCTTCTTATTCATAAAACCTTTATCATTACAAATAAATTTACTATATTTTCTGTTTTCCTTATTAGAAGATATTCCATCTGATGCAGAATTTAATTTATTTATATTATTACGAGAACAATTATTTTCATTTTTTAAATTAAAAATCTCGTAAGCTTGCAAATAGTTATCTACTCTATATATATTTAAAACAGGGTTAAAATATATATTTTCATTTTTCAATTTATTAAATTCATGATTATTATTATTGCTATTATTTTCTTCATTTTCATGGAAAACTTTATTATTATTTTTTTTCTTAATTTTTACACAATCTATCTTATTTAACCAATCTAGTTCAATTTTTTTATTTTTTGAAATCTCATGTAATATGTTAAAATCATCACTTAATATAATAAACTCTATATTATCTGAAGTATAATAAAAATTGATTGGATTTAATTTTATTTCATCAAATTCATCTATTATTCCTATTACAAAAGCATTATAATTTAAGTACATATATTGAACAATTGTAATAAAATGAATATTAAAAAAAAAGGATGGTAATTTAACTTTATAAATGTTATATCTTATACCTTTTATATAATTTAAATAGTTATTATAAGAATTAAAATATGAATAATCATCATCTTCATGAAATGAAAAATTTTTATTTAAAGACTTTTTTGTTTTTTTTTTAATAAATAAAGGAAAAATTTTAATTTTTTTTCTTTTTTTATGAGTTAATAACATTTTTTGAATACTCTTATTACTTTTTTTTTTTTTTTTTGCAGAAAATTTGTCTTTTTTTTTTCTTTGCTTATTTTTTGTATTCGTTAAATCATTTTCATAATTTCTTAGAATATTAAATTTATAAACATTATTATTATTATTAATATTATTATTATTATTATTATTATTATTATTATTATTATTATTATTATTATTATTATTATTATTATTTCTATGAGTAGTTACAGTTGTATTAACTTTTGAAGATGAGGATTTTTTCTTTTTGTTGCAATTCTGTTCACGAAAAAAATGCTTTGAATGAAAATTTTGTAAATATCTTAAGTTAAAGTAGTTTTTTTTTTTCTTATACTGTTTTTTGTGAGAACTTTTTTTAGAACTTTTCTTTAGTTGATCAAAAACATGATTTAATACATATGAATGCTTAAATTCTAATTTTTGAGGAATGTTGATAAAAAATAATAATACTAATAAAAACATTCCATGACAATTGTCTATAGTTTTTGCAAATAATTTCATTTTTAAATTATTTAAACATATTATATGTTTACTATTCCTTTTTAATAAAATGTTATTGTTATACATATTATTCAGAAAAACAGAAACATTTTTGCTAAAGGTTCCTAATGAAGATATTTCATTGTATCTTTTTAATGTTTCCATATCATTGCTAATATTATGATGAGTATTAATAATATTATTGCATATAAAAACACCACTACTATATGATATAATTTTTTTGATTTTTATAGGTAATGGTTTATTTAAATCATATAAACATAAGCTTACTTGACATACACTTTTTTTGTTTAATAGACGAATTATATTTACGTAAAATTTTATAGGTAAACTAGTTAAAATAATAATTTCATCAAGATTATTATAATTAGACTGTAATTCACTTATAATCACAAATAAAGCTATCGGTTTAATATGTCCTATTATAACAAAATAATTTGAACTAATATGAGGCATTTTTCCATATATTTTTTTTTCCTCTACAATATAATTTTTCAGGTATCTAATTTTATAATGTATATATGTAAAAGTCACAAATATATAAAAAACATGAGCAAATTTTCCTTTATGTGAAAAAGGAAAACACGTTCCTTTTCCTAATGCAGCTGTTGTTACTGTTTGCATTCCAGAAAAAACATAATCATATAATTCATATTTACCTTTGCATGGTTGTTCAATTAAAAAATTTATACATGCATAGGTGTAAATCATAACAAATATTTGGATTGATAATTTAATCAAAGGAAAGTTTAATTTATTGTAATTATTAAATTCACCAAATAAATATTCTATTCTGAGAAAATTAAGAAATCGGAAAGGACAAGATAAATAGAGCCAATTAAATTTTTTGTATTTTATTTTGGTTGAAAAAGAAACAACTATATAAAAAATGGGAGTATTCATTAAATTTAATAAAAACCAAAAATTTAATATATGATTAGCTGAAAAAAAAAGAAATAATTTTATACACATATCATATAAAATTAAATATTGTAAATATCCTTCTATTTTGTTATATATTTTTGGTATATTGTCTGTATTCCAATTAAACATACCTCTGTCTAATTCATCATTATTTCTATGTAAAAATTTATGAACATTTAACCAAACAATATTTAATAATAAGGTTATAATAATGTCTGCAATTAAAAAAGAGGTATTTTTACAAAACTTTCTACATACTAATTTTGCATTTATTATAAATTTAAAAAAGTAATTACTCCATTTTGAGAAATTGGGATCTTTTAAAATTTGCTTATTTCTATCATAAAAGCTATCTAATTTATAGCAGTTTATATTTGAATATGTGTTTATGTAATAACTAGATTTTTTTTTGTTCATTCCCTTATTTTTGCATAATATATTTTTAAAATTAAAACATATGTTTCTTTTTTTATTTATAAAATGAATATCTTCTTCTAAACTTTTATCACTGTTCCCCTCAAAATATATCTCATTATATAGAGAATGTTCGATCGTTCTATATATGTATTCTTTCTCATTAAATATTTTATAATTGTTCCTATAATTATCTCTACTATATTTTAATAATTCATCCTCCTTTTTTTTCTCTCTTTTCTTTGAATTTTTCAATTCTATATAATTTTTAATACTATCTTTTATTTTTATGGTCTTTCTTTGTTCATTAAAAAAAGTTTTTTCAAATTTCTCTGAACTATCTATGATATATTTTTTGTATTTCCCACTTTTTCTTAATATATAGTTATTTATATTATTTTTGTTATTCTTTAATTTCTTTTGTTTAATTTGCAAAATATCATTATATTTATTTATATCAATGTCTTTTTTATAATTTTCATCATTTACATAATAGTTTTTTTCTCTTCTTTTTTTAAAACTTTCTTTTTGAATAAATTCTTGATTTATATACAAAAAACAAGTATCAATGATATCATCAATTTTTAAACTACTTTCATTAACTTTTCCTTTAGAATTTAAAGATTCATTCAAAGAATTTGCATATATCTTTCTTTTTCTTATTTTATAAAACAAAAAATAATTAATTGAATTAGCAATATCTGGTAAAACTGCTAATGTATATGAGGTTATATAAATAATAATAAGTAAAAGAAAACTCAAATAACGAATAGAATCTTCATACACAGTCATAAAATCAAAGAAAAAGTAACATATACCTATAAAAATTATTATAAAAATTACTCTTTCAAATACAATGCGTGTTCGTGTCATATTGAAATTTTAACTCTAAAAATGTAGGAAAAAAAAAAAAAAAAAAAAAAATAAATAATATGCTAAAGTATAATTAATATTCATAATTAAAATAATATAATAAGAAAACTAAAAAGGAAATTTTAGGAAAAAACAACAAAAAAAAAAAAAAAAATAAAATAAATTGAAATATTTAAAAATATGATACAAAAAAAAGTTGGAAAAAAAAAATAAAGCACTAAAAAAATAATTTAGTTATGATAAATTATATTGAATTATGTAAAATTATATAAGAAGATAATATATGCTCGTAAAAAAATTTTCTTTTATATTTTCCATACATTATTCCCACTTATAAGAAGTTTCATAGAAAAAATTCAACTTTACTTATTTTAATTCATTTAAAGAGTTTTTAAATTAAGAATATTTATTTAATTTTTTTTTTTTAATTTTAAATTAATGAAATTATTTGAAGAGAAAATATCCAAAATCTCTTTTAGATCATATATAATTATAAAAAAATATAAAAATTATAACAAAAAATATTTAAATAATTATATAAATTTCTCATCTTAAATTTTTTTATTAGTCATATTTATATAATATATTATTCTTATAAGTATTAATTCAAATAAAATTCTCTTTCAATTATTTTTTATAATTATATAATTAACATAATATTGCCATTAGAAATACGTTATTTATTTCATAATATAAATTGTTAAATTATTTTATTCGTATATGTTTCACATTTTTGTTATTATAAAAAAAAAAATTGCTTATATATATTTATATATATGTGTATAGGTATTTATATTAACACTATTTTTGAAATCACTTTTTATGTATATATATTTTTTTTTTTTTTTTACACATTTTTATTAAATTTTTAGAATTCATAAGTAAACAGAACATTTATATATATATATATATATACATACTGAAATTATCACTGAAATTTTCTTAAATAGAAAATTATTTAAATATAAAAATATATTTTTTATATATAAAAAAAAAAAAAAAAAAAAAAATTGCAAAACCTTTTATATATATATATATAAAAAGAAGCCAGATTTTTTATATATAATAAATAAAATAATAAACACATTTTTGAATTATAGAGAAAATAAATGATTTATTTAATAAATGATAAATAAATTAATTGTTTAAAAAGTGAAATAAATGATTAATAAATTGTACAGTTGAAATATAAGAAAATGCAAAAAAATAAAATCAGTAAAGCTATATATACATAAAAATAATTTTTTTTTTTTTTTTTTTTTTTTTTTTCTAATAACATTTAAATAGAAGAATAAATACATTAATTATACTTTTGTTATATTTAATTTAAATAATGATTTAGTAATATTTTTGTAGATTCATTAAAATTATAAGATACATTTGATTTTTTTTTTGTTCTAACATCATGAAAGTAGTTTCGGATTTCTTTAGCTAAAACTTTTCCTAATTCCACTCCCCATTGATCAAAACTGTTTATGTTTAATAAAAATCCTTCTGCAACAATTCTACATTCATATAATGATAAAAGTAATCCACATGTATAAAAGTTCAATTCGTCAAATAATAATAAAGTGGAAGGTCTATTTCCTTTAAAAACTTTATGACTTAATAATTCAGAAGATAATTTGTTTTGGTTTTTCTCGTTTTCTTCCTTTACTTGTTCTAATGTTTTTCCAATAGCTAAAGCATCAGCTTGCGCAAAAAAGTTTGTCATTAATTCGTCGTGATTACTAACTATTTCATTATCAAAATGAACAGGAAATTGTGATTGCTTAAATCCTATCAATTCAGCAGGTACTACCTGTCCTTGATGAATTAATTGATAAAAGCTATGTTGCCCGTTTGTACCTGGCTCTCCGAAATATACTTGACATGTGTTATAATCAATTAAACGATTATTCCTATCTACACATTTTCCATTACTTTCCATTGCTAGCTGCTGAATATGAGTTGCGAATTTTAACAAATTTTGAAAGTAAGGTAATACAGCAATACTTTTATAATCAAAAAATTGGCTATTATAAAAACTTGTTAATGCCATTAACACTGGGATATTTTCTTTTATATCAGTATTTAAAAAATGTTCATCTAAATCATGACAACCATCTAGAAATTGTCTCATATTTTTATATCCAAATGCAATAGATAAAGGCAATATACCAACTGAACTAGTAACTGAAAATCTTCCTCCTACCCAATCCCAAAATTCAAAAACGTTATTTCTTGAAATACCAAATTCATCTGTTAATTTTAAATTTGTACTTACAGCAACCAAATGTTTACTTAAACTTTCATTATCTTTTATTTTCAAACTTAACCAATTTTTAATTGATCTAGCATTTAACATGGTTTCAGCAGTTGTAAATGTTTTAGAAATAATTATGACTAATGTTTCTGTTTGATCTAAGTTATATGTTGCTCTATTTATGTCATTAGGATCTACATTAGCTAAAAATCTAACATTAAATACTTCGTTATAATTGTTATTAAAATTATTAATTGAACTTTTATTTTTATTTATTATGTTATTGTTATAATAAAATCTTAATGCCTCATATACAAATTCTGTACCTAAATAAGATCCTCCTATACCTATGCATATTATATTTTTAAATTTGGTGTTGTTACATGTTTTTATATTTCCATTTCTTATATTGTCAGAATATTCTTCAATTTTTTTCAATACATTATGTACATCCTCTAATACATTCTTATTATCGATTAAAATTTTATGAGAACTTATTTTTTCTTTTGGTATTCTTAAAGCAGTATGCAAAACACTTCTATTTTCGGTAACATTTACTTTATCACCTTTAAATGTACTTTGGATTTTCTCTTTTAATTTTATTTCTTCTGCATATTCAATCAATTTGTTTAATGTTTTCTGATTATATCTTTGACGAGATAAATCTACGAAAAAATTTTTAAATTTTCTAATGAGAAATTCAGATCTTTCTTTATCCTTTAAATAATCTTTTAAATTTTTTTTTTTTTCTTCTTTGCTTAATTCTATTAACTCTTTATAACTTTTCAAAGAAGTTATCTCCATTTTTAAATATAAAATATTTCAAAAAAAAAAAAAAATTATAAAAACTTTAATGTTATATAATTTTATTTAAAATGTACTCTTCAGTTACACGATCAACCAATAACTTATCAAGCTTATATATTTATATCTATATCTATCTATATATATATATATATATATATTAAAACTTTATTACACCTTTTTTTTTATTTTTTTTTTTTTCCATAAACACAATATATTATTCAAAATTAAAAAAAAAATATAATATTAATGGTGTAATTGAAAAAAAAATTTATAACATATATATATATATATATATATATTCTTCTAATTTTTAAATGGTCATAAAATCATGTTTTCTAATTTTAACAACACCTTATGTTTTCTATATAGTTAAATATATAGTTGAAAATGAAGTCACTTATTATTTTTTTTAAAAAGTATATTATTGTAATGTTGTAATATTAATATTTTTTTCTTTTAAATATATGTTTAAATATATTTAACTCTATCATTTGCTACATTTATTTTTTTTTATTTTTATTTATTTATCAAGCATTATAGTCATATTTATAATTTTTGAATTAGTGTATTTTTTAATTTAATATTCACAATTTTTTTATTTTTATTAAAAATATTCATGTATATTTATTTTCATTATACTTGTATATATTAATTTTTTTTTTTTTTTTTTTTTTTTTTTTTTATAGAATAATTAAATTATTAATATATTTTATTAAGAGAATAAAATTGAATAGAGAAAAAAAAAAAANNNNTTTTTTAATTTAATATTCACAATTTTTTTATTTTTATTAAAAATATTCATGTATATTTATTTTCATTATACTTGTATATATTAATTTTTTTTTTTTTTTTTTTTTTTTTTTTTTATAGAATAATTAAATTATTAATATATTTTATTAAGAGAATAAAATTGAATAGAGAAAAAAAAAAAATAATGAATTACAAATACAGTAATAAATAGAAAGTAATCTCATTAAATTATAAATAAATATTTAATTTCTAACCAATAAGAAAAAAAACTAAAGTGTTTCTTAGCATTTTTAAAATTTTTATCCTTTTTTCTTTTAGTTTATTGAAACCCTATTAAATTATTCTTTCATTTAATTAGTAGTAACATATTTTTAAACTTTTAGTAAAAAAAATTTATCATCTTTTACTTTAGCTTTTATTTAAAATATGTGATGAAAATCTTATTTTTTATTTAGAAAAAAAAAAAAAAAAAAAAATTGTGTCTTCTATAATTAACATAAATATATTTAAGAGATATATTTTTTTCATATCATTAGTTTTTAATTTAATATATGAATGAAAAATATAAGAATTGACTTAATATGAACAATTGTCTTATTATCTCATAAAATATTTAAAAGTAAAATACTAAGTAATTGATCCAGCAAAAACTTTTTTTATAAATAATAAATATATTTATATAATTTGAATCTTTTTTTATATGATATTGCTTCAATTTAACATACTTTTAATTTATTTTATTATATATACATGTATTATTATTATTTTATTTTTTTTTTTTTTCTATTCTAAACATTCTCATAAATCTTTTTAAAGATAGTATAAGAGCATAAATACTATTTAGTGTGTTTAAGAGATTATTAATTTTATTTTTATTAACAATTGACAATAGTAAAAAAAAAAAAAAAAAAAAAAAAAAAAAAAA